TTAATACTGAGTTCCCACTCTGTGCCAGGGCATGACCTGTGCACTGCCAATAGAGCAGGGAACAGCAAAACCCCTTCCTCCCACCGTGAGCCTTGGAGAATGAATGCAGGGAGTGGCCAAAGGTAGTGTCTGGGGCTTGGTTCTCCCTGCACTAACCTCGCCAGCCTGGCCCAGCTTGCCCTGATCCCCTGACGGTCCATGCACATGTGTTTATACTTGCATTGTTGACTGGGGTCCAATTGCCTTTGGCAAAGGCATCAAGCATTCAAAGATGTTCAGATCTTTTCTGTCTGGCTCTTTTCCTCAGAATGAGGCTCCAGTGTGTCCCTTTGGTCCCTTAGCCATTATCTGAGAGGCTAGAATTCTGGCAGTGTCCCCGTGCATCTTTCCCCAGTGAAGGAGAGAGCTCTCGGACCAGTGAGGTAGAGAAGCAACCCACCCCGGCCGCTGGAAGCAGGGAGGTGAAATGTGTCCGAACTCCTCTCAGGCTGTCAGATGGCCTTGAGCGGCACCAAGTAGAAAACGCACTCCTGCCCCCAACCTGCTCCTCGGCTTCATTGTGAGACCTTGAGTTCCTCAGCTTCCAGAATGATCCAACCTAGCTGAAAACCTGAAGTCCCTCCCGATACAAGTCCAGACAGTCCCCAGCCAGGGAGACCAGGTGTTCTCTGACATCCCACACACATCGGCACACTTGGGGGATTGCAAAAGAGAGGAAGGGAGCCAAAGGCTGGGGCCCCAGGGTACAGCTGACACTCAGCACCCCTCCCAAAGAGCACCCCCTGTGTGTTCTGGATCTCTAGAAGAGTTTGGTTTGGGCCAAGTAGTGCTTAGTTTTAATTTTCTCTTTCTGGAAATAAATACTTTTAGTAAGTAAAGATGCTGTTCAGCTATCATATCCTGCAAAGTTAGAAGAAAGATGTGGGCCAGGTGCGGTGGCTCATGCCTGTAATCCCAGCACTTTGGGAGGCCAAGGCAGGCAGATCACTCGAGGCCAGGAGTTCAAGACCAGCCCAGGTAACATGGTGACCCCATCTCTACCAAAAAAAAAAAATTCAAAAATTAGCTGGGTGTGGTGTCTCACTCCTATAGTCCCAGCTACTCAGGAGGCTGAGGCATGAGAATTGCTTAGGCCTGGGAGGCAGAGGTTGCAGTGAGCAGAGGTTGTGTCACCGTACTCCAGTCTGAATGACAGAGTGAGACTCTGTCTCAAAAAAAAAAAAAAAAGGATGTGTCTAGCAGGCTGGGCACAGTGGCTCACACCTGTAATCCCAGCACTTTGAGACACTGAGGCACGGGGGATGATCACCTGAAGTCAGGAGTTCGAGGCCAGCCTGACCAACATAGTGAAACCCCGTCTCTACTAAAAACACAAAGATTAGCCGGGCATGGTGGCGCATGCCTGTAATCCCAGCTACTTGGGAGGCTGAGGCAGGAGAATCGCTTGAACCCGGGCGGCAGAGGTTGCGGTGAGCTGAGATCGCACTATTGCACTCCAACCTGGGTGACAAGAGCGGAACTCCGTCTCAAAAAAATAAAAAAATTTTAAAAATGTGTATCTAGTAAAGGGAGCCAGGGCACTGTCACAGCACCCAAGCATGGGGCTCCACCCTTAGCCAACATCAGAGTTTCCCTGGCTGCCGGTTTCCTGTGTACTTGGAGCAGCTTCTCCTCTCTGCGAACAGGTTTATAGCCCAGCCTTCAGCCCCAGATTGCTCTGGTCTTCCCAACACCCCAGTGAGCAGGAGAAAAACACAGAAACTAACATTTAGTGAGCACTGCCGTGGGCCAGGCGCCTTGCAGTCTGTTCTGCACGCGCTGCCTCTTAATCCTCAAAAGGAACCACTCAGGTAGATATTATTTTCAGCTATTTCCTTGTAAACCACCTAAAGTTGGCTGGGTGAGGTGGCTTACACCTGTAATCCCAGCACTTTGGGAGGCCAGTGCAAGAGAATCACTTGAGGCCAGAAGTTCAAGACCAGCCTAGGCAACATAGCAAAATCCCGTCTCCACAAAAATTTTTTAAAAATTAGCCAGGCATAATGGCATATGCCTATAGTCCCAGCTATGCAGGAGGCTGAGACAGGAGTACTGCTTGAGCCTAGAAGGTCAAGGCTGCAGTGAGCCATGATGCCACCACTGCATTCCAGCCTGGGCAACAGAGCAAAACTCTGTCTCAAAAAAAAAAAAAATTGTTCAGTACTGTCAAGGCTCCACAGCTAGTATCAGAGTTCATATCTTAACCTGTCTCTGCTCATGCCTCTAAACTGCATTCTTCTAGCCCTGCTCCAGAAAACTAGGCTGACACCAGAGTACAGACTTTCAAGGGCCCCGGCAAGGCTCCTTCACACCAAAGCAAATTTCCCACCTGCAGTCACACCATGAGCCTTTTCGTTCCTTTAGCTAAGACTTTGGTTCCTGCAAACTTGCAAATCCCCTGGGACAGGCAGCACTTTAAACGCTCATCAAGCATTTGTGCACTAGTGGGAGTGAATTTTGAATTTTTTTCTTATGAGTAGCTTTTGCTAGATCCTAAGGAAAGTAATGATAAAAATATTGGGTTCCTGGATGGAGAAAGAGTCTGTTGAAAAGAGGAAGAAAGATTGTAGGATGGGAGGCGGGGGCACCAATGGTGGATTTTACATCACAGTTTTATGGAAGATTCTAGATGCTAGGATCATAAAGTAAGGAAAAGAGCATTTTTTCCTGCTTCTGGATTTTACAGTTGAAATGAGGAAGGTAAGCTATCTCTATGCAAGGAGTCTGTTTTCGTGCCTGGAGAGCCAGAGCTAAGCAGACTCTCTAACTCTCTCTGGCCTCATCCCTGCTGTCCAAAAGGCCCATCATAGTCAGCACGTAGATTTGTATCTGGCTGTTGTTTATCTCCACCACCAGGGCCCATGTCTGTTTGAATCACCAGGGTATCCCCAGAACCTGGCAGAATGCATTGCACTTAATAGGTGCTCAATACATGTCCGTAGGAATGAATGTTGTTGAAATTTGAAACAAAAAGACCTGAACCAGGACTCTGGATTCTAGCCTTGCATTGCCACCGGAATGTCCTGCGTCCTTAGGGAAGTTACTCCTGCCTCTGGGCTTCGGGCTCCTCATTTGTAACGTGAATGCTGTTTTGTCATTCCAGGGCTATGTTGAATTAATCTAAATCCAAACGTGGAAGGCTAAGGTTGATGGGCTTAGAATGCTCTCATCAGGTCAGCGTTGCTGGAAGGCAGTGGTGGGAATAGCGCGGCTTTGACCGTTTCTGCAGATACGTACTCCCGGACCCTCAGAGCCCTCAAGGCTCTTGGGGACAGGATTCCCGGGGAGCAGCCAGGAAGACTTCTTTCTTAGGTCAGGGCTTTCATTTATCAGCAAACGCCTTCCAGGAGAATGATGGTTACGAATACAGGCTGTGGAGCCAGGCTGCCTGGGTTCCATTCCCACTGTGCTCAGCCCTACCCCTCATCAATGGGGTGACCTTGGCCAGGGTACATAACCTGGTTCCCAGTGACCTCCTCAGTACTATCGTCTGATAGTCACACCTGCCTTGGAGATGAGTTCAGAGAACTCCATTCTTGTAAAGCACACAGTGAGGGCTCTATGAAAGTGAGTTAGCGGTTTTGACTTCTCAGAGCACGAAGCCTGAAGCTGGCCCCTGACAGCTGCAGCTCTGGCCAGGGAGAGCAGGAAGGACTGGCCTCTAGCTTAGTCTCCTTTGCCTCTCAATGTCGTTTACTTCCCATTCTACGCCCATAAGAGACCAATCATGAGGCTCGGTTTTACAAATAGTGAAGTCTAGGCACCAGAAGAAAGTACTAGACTTTATCTTCCGCAACAAGTGCAACCCCGGGTTCAGAACTCACCCATTTGGTTTCAGTGTTGCTGGCTCTCGAGAGAGTTGATATCCAGTCAGGAGTGGAGAGAGCCTGGCCTGAGTCAGTAGTCATAGTGTCTGTGTTTGATGCATCCCAATCACAAAGCACAAGTGCATGATTGTTCCTGACCCACCCTGAGCCCAGCAGGGGCAGGGGGTCCTGAGTGGAGGGCAGGGTAGGAGGGGAGGTGCCCTGCATGGACCTGGAAACTAGGAAAAGGCAGAGACAGCCCCCAACTCCAGACCCACCCAATCCTCTGCACCCTGCTGCCTCCCTGAATGGAGTCAAGTCATGTTCTGAGCACTGTGACCACCTCCAGCCTGGGGTGAGGAGGGCACGCAGCGAGTGCCTTGCTCCAGGCTGGGAAGAGCAGATCCATGGTCCGCTGGCACCTGCCTGGCTGGCCCCTCTGGGAGGGGAGCCTTCCTCCGTAAATCAAACACTTAATTAACTTGGGAACACGGGAATATCGTGTCAGGAGCGATCTGTCAGTGCTTGTGTGAACCGGACCGTGTTGTTTTCTGCGGACTGGGGCTGGGTGTGGAGAGAGTTTCAGGAGGCTGGAAGGTTTTTTCCACCGTGTTGTCATTTCTCCAATAATTGAGTTATCTCTCTTGTTGCAGGTGGAGAGAGACTTTGAAAGGGAGTATGGAAAACTTCAGCAGTGAGTGTCAACCCCAGAAAGATGAGGTGGGAGGTAGGGAGGGACAAGGGCCCCCTGCCAGGTCTCACTTGTCTGCCTAGTGCCCTTCCCTGGGCTGCCCCTCTGCCCCGTGAGTACCCTGGAAGCTGAGGGCAATTCAGGTCACCAGGCTACCAGAACTGTTCCCCAGCAATGGCCACGCAAGAGTCGTTCACTCGTAGCTTTTGGGTGTGGTGGCACTTCTGTCAGTGGGAAAAGTCCCCACGGAGAAGATCCCCTTCTCCTCCTCCATGGCAGGCCCTCCAGAGCACCTGGACTTCGCTCAGGTAGGGGGAAGGAAGGAGACCCCAAGCAGCCTGTCCCCTGCCTTGCAGGCTGGAAGAGCAGACCCGGAAGCTGCAGAAAGACATGAAGAAGAGCACCGATGCTGACCTGGGTAGGTGACTTTCCACCCGCACCACTGGCTTGGTAAGGTGGGGCAGAGGTGGGCACCCTCCTCCCTCAGGCCTCTAAGGGCTCTGATGTCACTGCACTCAGAGGACATGTGCCCAGTGTCCTGAGAAGCAGCCTGAGGGCAGCCACCCCTCACCAGTCAGATCCCACTTCGCACAGAGCTCACACCGCCCCACTGTGGATGTGGGTGTTGGGGCAAGACTCTCCTGGGACTCCAGTCAGGGCAGTACTGCAGCTGGTGGAAGCTTCTGCCATCAGATGCCTCCACTGCTTCATAATCCTGGCCGGCGGCTCAGGCTGTCCAGAGGGAAAGGGAAGCACGTTCCCTCCTGCAGAAACAAAACTCCCTGTCCTGCTGGGACGGGCGCTCCAGTGGCAACAAGAATGGAAGCTGTTGCGTGTTTAAACAGCTTGGGTTAAAGTGTAAGGCCAAAAATACCCCAGATAATTCTGTCATGACAAAGGGCACTGGGAGGCCCGTGGGAAGTGGGGGCCAGCAGGTGCTGGGAAACAGCCAGGGCCCTTGGGGAGCTTTCTTGGCTGGGGAGTTCTTGTTTGAAACAAGGAGGAACTAGGCCCAGGAGCCTAGAGACAAAGGCAGGTCTGGAATAAAGGAGTGTCCAGAGCCCCTGCCACAGGCCATGTCCCAGGAAGGAGGCGACGAGCAACCGGGAGAGATGGAGACCATTCCTTGAGGTTCTTTCTCCAAGGCCTTGACTTTCCCGCCCCAGAGCAGCAAGCACTTGACCAAAGGTTGATCAATAGCTTCAGCACTCCCTGCACAACTCTGGACAGCCGACTTAGCTCTACCTCAATTCCCTCACCTGAGAAGCACAGGTGGTGCCAGTCCGAGTGGCATAGGTTCATGTTGAAGATAAAGTTGGATGAGCAACGTAAAGCGCCGAGAACAGAGCCTGGCGAGGGTCAGCTCTTGAGGCGTCCGCTCCTGTCATCACTGTCATCGTTGTGGGCAGCAAGGCTCCCTGACTGGGTGGACCTCTGCAGCTCCTTCCCTGGGTCCGTTGGGAGGGCTGTGTCCATATACCACACTGGGACGGGGACCTGAAAGAGACTTGGGTATGGCCAGGACTGCCCACTTCCTCTCACTCAGCAGATACTGACTGAGAACCCACATGTACCAGGCACTCTCAGCACTAGAGACTCAACAGCAAGACAAGTTGGGCGCTTATGTTCTAGGAGGAAGCCCTGCAAGAGGTCCACAAGTGGACCGGTGTTATAATGACATGTCATGGCGTGTTGGGTCAAGAAAAATAAGGAGGTAAAGAGTGACAGGGTCAAGGGAGGCCTTCCTGGGGAAGTGTTCTCTGGGCAGAGTCCTGAAGGAATGAGTAACCCGCACAAGTAGAGCCAAGGGAAGAGGGCCTGAAACACAGACAGCAAGCACGGAGGCCCAAAGGCCGTGCACACTGACCAGAGATGCAGGAGAGGCAGCAGGAGAGTGGAGAAGCCATCTTCAGTCCCCTCGGCCACTCCAGCTGCTGAATAATGTCCTGTTACGGCTGTGAAGAAATTTCACCTACCTGAGCTCTTCTGACCTTGAGATTGGCGGGGCACATGACACACCCATTTTATAAACGGGCATGTCCATTTGATAAAGGAGGAAGAGTTCAGCTCCTCTTCTCCAAGTCCAGGGCCCTGTCTCCCCAGCGAAGGCTGTCCATGTCCCACTCTTTCCTTTGCCCACCCCCACCGCCAAACTAGAAGGTGACTGAAACAGCCCCTGCTCTGGAACCCTGGCCCATCCACTCTTGGCTTGGCTGGCTGTGAGCCTAGTGCAAATGGCAGCATCACTGTCTCCTGACACCATTCAAAGGGCCACAGGGCAGTGGGCACCTAAGGGTGGGATTTGAGGACCAGCCTGCTCCTACTTGGCACGGCAGTTACGAGGAAAACGCTTGAAATGTCCCTAATAGAGGCAGTGATTTGAATTTGTTCCCATTTTATGCCAGCTCCTGAGCCTCAGCCAGTTACTGATGTGTAAACCCACCTTTCCTACAAAGCACTGTCACAAAAGGAAAGCATTCCTTCCCTGGCAGCCGCCGTCACCACCGCCGCCGTCACCACCACCACCACCATGCCCTGGCGAGCCCTGACTACCGGTGCAGGGACTGGGGCCGTCTTGGTCTGTGCCGTGAATTCTCATGCCAGTGCTAATTCCTGGGCCGTGGGCTGGTCTGAACATGCACCTTGCTCCTGGCCTCTAGCATTGCCAAACTATGTGTGTCACAAGCCAAGGACCGGATTTGGAAGTTTGTCTGCAGTTGTTTGTTTTGTAGTTATTTCAGGTCTGAGTTACTTGGGTCACATTTTTCTTGATCGGTCCCCACTGCCTTTCCAGTTCAGGAGCCGCTGTGACCCGTTGCTTCCTCTCCTTCCTGCTTCTGCAGACAGCTGCACTGTCAGAACATAAATGAAGCCAGGGTGTGCTGTGTTCACAGTGGCTTGCTCCGGAACCAAGGAGGGCATCAGGGGTCTGTGACGCACTGTCTGTGGCTGTGGAAAGCTTAGTTTTCCAGCAGAGAAACCAGAGTTTGATGGGTGACTGCAGAAGCCTAGCATTGCTATCCTCAGGAATGGATGTGGGCAGAGACAGTGCCTCTGAAGAGCCACGGTGCTGGTCATGGGGCTGAGGCGAGCCTGACGGCCATGTCAGTCTCACATACGGGACATCAGCGTTGTGGGCGGGCTTGCTGTGCTGCAGGCCGCCGGGCCCCACCTCCAGCCTCCAACTAACTCATGGGCTGGGCGAGACCTGGAGATGTGTGTCCCTGGAGTTCCCAGGTGACGCTGAGGCCCACACTGAGCACCACGGATCTGGACAGTTGAGGGGAATGGAAGGATGCCTTTCCTGAGCGTGGAATTTCCTAAGCTCCCCAGCAAGGTGGAAAATCCCGAGTTATTCTAAAAAAGATGACCTTTCTTTCAGAAACTCATATTACTTTCAGAGTGCTCTGGTGAACCTTTGACTTTTACATTCCAGAGGCTGCATCAGGACTCTAGAGACCCAGGTGGGGTCCAAGACCCTCACTTTCTCTAAGGTTCAAAGACCACCAGCCTCCTGGTGTGGGCCAAGCTGACTGTGCCCCTCTCCCAGACCCTATAGGAAACAATGAGAGGTATGGGCTGGAGCAGGGACTACAGGTCCAGAGGGGCATGGAGACCTGCTGTTCTTTATTTTTGTTGAGGGGGAACGGAGTCTTGCTATGTCATCCAGGCTGGTCTCGAACTCCTGGGCTCAAGGGATCCTCCTGCTTCAGCTTCCCAAAGCACAGGGATTACAGGCATGAGCCGCCACGCCCAGCCAAGGTCATGGTGTTCTTAGTGTCATCTACCCCAGCTCTGCTCTGCACACATGAAGCGGGGGCATCACTGGGTGGAGATTCCAGACCCAGTTCTGCCCAGGGCTGGCCACTGAGCCCACTCAGTTCCTTGACTTCCTGACAATGCAAGAGCTTTAGGAAAGAAAGGAGAAAATGGGGCTGGGCTGGGCGCAGTGGCTCACGCCTGTAATCCCAGCACTTTGGGAGGCCAAGGCAGGTAGATCACCTGAGGTCGGGAGTTTGAGACCAACCTGGCCAAAATGGTGAAATCCCGTCTCTACTAAAAATATAAAAATTAGGTGGGCGTAGTGGCAGGTACCTGTAATCCCAGCTACTTGGGAGGCTGAGGCAGGAGAATCACTTGAAGCCAGGAGGTGGAGGATGCAGTGAGCCGAGATCATGCCATTGCGCTCCAGCCTGGGCCACAAGAGCGAAACTCCGTCTCAAAAAAAAAAAGGGAAAGTGGGAAGAACGTCTCCTTGCTCCTCTGGCTTTTTGGGTTGTTTTCCTCATTTTTTTTTTTTAAGAAATAGCAGAAGATATTTTTTGGAAACATTTCCAGCTTTATCCAGAATTTTTTTATCTTTTTATTATGCTGTATGTGATCATTTCATAATCAAATCAAGTTACACATAACGTTTGTTCCTAAACCTACAGGGTCACTCCACAGAATTTCAGAGGTGTTTTTCCCTCCGTTGCTTCAACATTTCTGGAAAGTTTACATTTCCAGCCTTCTCCCACAGTTTGCCCTTTTGCTGGGTGACTGTAGCACTCTCCCAGATTCCAGAAAACCCCCAGGAGGATGCTCCTGGCCGGCCAGTCCGCTCAGCACTGCTTTGCTGGCTGGTGAAGGGGCCTGGAGGAGGCAGACCCTTCCCTGGGGAGCGCAAGGTCAGGGGTCGGATTCATACCATGGAGTGCTAGGCGAGGCCACATCTGTAATTAACTGGGAGGCGGACCTTATGTCATGGGTCCTAAGACACTTTTTCCACAGTTAACGTCTCTGAAATGAAAGGACTGAAAGTGTAGCCTGGTTTGATTGACAACAGTTTTTTCTCTTAGTAGTTTATACAATAAATGACTTACGATGAAGAGCATCTTAAATTCAGTAACATGCATATGGTAAGAAATGCATTTGCAATGTGTCTTCTCCCCTGAGACCTGCCCCAGATGCACTCTGTCACTGGTACAGACAGCATCAGGCCAGCATGGCCCTTCTCCAGGCCCGCCTCCTGCCCCTCTAGAATTTTGTTTCTAGAATCTAGAAATAATGGAGGCCTGAAAACATGTTCAGGACCAGGAGCTCCAAAGCTGCCAGCAGGTCTCCAGCCCGCCTCTGAGCCGCCTGTGACTCCCAGGCTTCCCATCTGCCCAGCAGGGAATGTCAACAGAGGAGGGAGGAGCACAGAGGGGTGGGTGGCACATTCGTGGGGATCGGGTACCAGGGTGCCTTGAAAAACGTCAGTGGACGCCTGATGGACAGAGCTTTGATGGACCTGTCCACTGGCTTCCTCCAGGCCAGATCACCATAAGGAGAGCAGTGAACAGGGAAGCAGTTGCCCAGGGTCAAGGGTCAGGGCCCAGCTGGCATGTTCAGCCATTTGACCTTGGAGGCATTACAAACCCTTTTGCGCCTGATCTGCCTCCTCTCTAAAATGGAACCAAAATACATTTCCGCTAGACATCCCCTGGGTTGTTTGAGCCCTAAATGAGAGTGCTTGGGACTCTTATTTAGTAGTGGTAGAACCCCAAGATGGGGACCTGCTGGCAGCTTTGGAGCTCTTTGTCCCGTACAAGTTCCCAGGTTTCCATTATTTACAAACAAAATTCTGGAGGAGCAGGAAGAGACCCTGAAGGAGGGCCCTGCTGTCCCAGTGCCACCTGTACCAGCTGCAGAGTGTGTCTGGGTGAGTCTCGGGGGGAAAACACAGTTTCCAGTGTATCTCTTCCTACTGGATGTCGAGGAAACCAGGGGTTGACAAGCTACAGCTGCTGGCCTAATCTGACCCAGTTTTGTCAATAAAGTTTTATTGAAACAGCCACATCCATTTTTTATGTGCTGTCGCTGGCAGTTTTTACAGCACACGGCAGAGTCAAGAAGTTGCAACAGAAATTGTGCGGCCCTCAAAGCCTGAAATATTTACTGTTGGGCCCTTTGTAGTAAAAGCATGTGTAAACTGGAATACTGTTATTCTTGTCCCTCTGGGAGTCCCAAACCAAGTGTCACATCCAAACCACCTGGAGAGGTGGTTTTAAATGCATATTCTTGGGTATCAGGTTTACTGAATTAGAATCTTCGGAGCCAGAAACATATTTTATAGCCTCCCACCCAGATGGTCCTTTTCTAACCCAGGGTTTGGAGAACAGGTAAAGCTGCTCAAAAGAATTGTCCAGAGCAGTGTTAGGGTCGGGAATGAGCATTAAAGCATGGGGATCAGCAGCTTGTGGCTGTGTGGTACTTCGCCATTCTGACGGCCGTGGCTGTGGGAAGAGGTCTTCAGGGTGCAGGCCTCTGGCATAGGAGGATGGGGCCTAGAGAGAAGGCCGTGAAACCTGCCCCTTCATAGAAGGCTCACTGAGCTTTGGCTTCTCACAGCCATGTCCAAATCTGCCGTGAAGATATCCTTGGACTTACTCTCCAACCCCCTCTGCGAGCAAGACCAGGACCTTCTGAGCATGGTGACGGCCCTGGACACGGCCATGAAGCGGATGGACGCCTTCAACCAGGAAAAGGTGACTAGGTCTTGGTCTGGGGTGGGCAAACATGACTTCCACCCCCGGTGTGGGCCTCTGGGTGGACTGTGCGGGGAGGCCTGAGTGCCTTCCGTCTGCCCTCGGGGTTCTAAGCCCTCTGGCCTCCTGTGCTGCAATGTGCTGCAAGCCCACAGGGCTCTTTCCAGACTGTTCTGCCTCGGCTCTGCCTGATTCCTGAGGCTCCACAAGCTCGGGTCACTGACGGCAGCCCTGTTCGCCCCAGCCCCTGAGCCTTCTGTGGCCACCCACCCGGCCATCCACCCTGAGCAAGGCCAGGCCCAGGACAAGGACAGCACCCTGTGGCCCTTCAGACTTCCTAGCCCAGCAGTAGTTAGGGGCCCTGCCTTGCCTGTCGTCCTCCCCTCCCTACCAGTTTTAATGTCTTTGGGTTTTTCTTTGACAGGTGAACCAGATCCAGAAGACTGTGATCGAGCCCTTAAAAAAGTGAGTAAATGTCACCTGGGAGCCTTGGGGCACTTATGGGAGAGGTAGGTCAACAACCACTTGGGAACTGAACAGGATTTCTAGCTGCCTGTCCCCAGATTCCCATGGGGCCTGACGGGAAACTGAGTGGGGACATCAGCTCTGTGACCTGTGGCCTAAGCATCCATGCTCCTGGGGGCTCCAGAGCACCCGCATGGCCCAGGTGAGCTCAGGGGACCCCTGCCACCGCCCCCCCCCCCACCCCACCCAGCAACCGCCGCTGCTCTGGTGGTCATTTGACCGCTTCCTCCTGATTGAGAGCCACTGGGCCGGGGCTTGCTGAATGGAGCTAGCAGAGATCTTGGCCAGCCCTCAGTGGACATGAGCAAGGCCTTTCATCTTGCCCCGCTGGATTGGGAGAGCAGCTGCCTGCAGCACTCAGCTTTGGAAATGTGGGGGTGGCCGCACATGGGGAGGGGCGCGGCAGCGGGGTCTGGCCCGGGAAGGTCCCCTAGCTTGTGACCTGTTGGGGTCAGGAATGCTTCTGTGAGACTCATCTTCTGTTGGGCAGGCCCTGGTCAGCGATCAGACAGGCCTATTCCCTCGGTCCCCAGGGCGGGGAACAGGCAGAGCCGTGCCTTGAAGCCCGGAATCACTTCATCTTCCCTGGCCTCTCACGAGCAGGCTGTGACCTAGAAAGCTCGTGCTCGCCCAGCTGCGCTTTGTTGCCTCTTCTGCGGTGGTCCCGGGCAGTGACTTGCCAGGGCCGGGTAATGAGGCTCTGCCTAATGATCACTGGCCTGGCCCGGGGCCCAGAGGGCAATGAGGGGAGCAGTTTTTGATCCTGCAGCCCCTGGTGTTTGGGATTGCTGAGCTGTTCGTTGACTGTGCAGACCTGAAGTTTGGGGTTAAGAAAAGGCCCCCAGACCCTAGCAAGCTCTTGTTTCTACGCCAGGACCATGGAGGCTCAGAGAAGGCAGGGAGGGAAGGGACTGTGCCTCCCACTCCGGCCCTGGCCCCCCAGCCTCCCCAGAGTGGGCATCCACCACCCCCTGCCTACTGGTAACGGTGCAGCCCCAAGCCACAGGGTTGCATAGGGAGCTGGGGTGCAGAGAGAGCTCCGTGGCTATGGATTTTGGTCCTGGGCTTCAGGATAGACTGTTCAGGGCTGGTTGGGAAGGACGCAGGCTGAGCAGACCCTGCCCACAGAGGGCTCTTCTGTGCCAGGGCCACACGGGTCCCAGAGACGGACACAGAGGCTGCTACAGGCACCCATGGCTGGCAGAGTGAGGCAGGGACTCAGAGAACTGGGGAACTGACTCCCACTTCAATTTCAGTATCAACAAGGCGCCCTTGAAATCTGATTCCTGGCTTCTGAAGCCCAAATGGAGAGAAACCCCGGCCACTTCCCACCACCCTGGTGGCCCACCACCTGCCAGGAAGGTGGGGGCGTGGCAGAGGGGGCGCACATCTCCGCGGCAGATCCGCTGACCTCTGCATGAGCCCTCAGGCCTGCCTGGCTGGCTTCTCCCTGCGTCCCCACAGCTGACATATGATCTCCCCCAACCACATAAAACTGCGCAGCCTACAGCCTCCTCCCATTGGCTTCCTCTTGCCAGAAGAGAAGCTCCCAGGGACCCCAGCACCGGAAACAGGAAACTCCAGCTTTCCTGTCCTCTGATGAAGATCATGGCCACATGGCCACCCCACCGCCCCCGGCCTCCCTGCAGGGGCTCGGCCTCTAATCCCCAGTCTCTGGGCCGCATTCACATGTCGGATGGGGATGCTTTCAATTTCCCTTTCCTGGTGGGTGGAAGCTCCCGGCTGCGTGGGCACAGACCAAGGCATGGCAGGCATTCCCCACCAGTGCTGGCTGTGCCCAGCCCACCTCCCAGCCGGCCTCGCTCCCTTTCCCTCTCCTGCTCCTCTTCGCCCCTCCCATCCCCAGGGGAGTGAGTTTGATGTTGAGCCTTAGGACAGACAGGAATTGGGCAGTGATCATGGGTAATTCTTTGATCACTGGCCTGGGCCTAGCCTGGCCACCTTCTTTGAGGATAAATGTAAAACAGACTTCAGTGGCTTACAGTCTAGTGGAAAGCCACGGCGTGTTCTCGGGTCAGCGGCCAGGCGTGGTGCAGGACCATGGAGCGGGGCGTGCTGAGTGGGCTGTCGCACCTGCCCCCAGCAGGCCTCAGAGGCTGTTTCCTCCCATGTGGAAGGAGAGAGCCAAACTGACTTCTCAGAATGGGACAGTCAGCGCCTAGGAGCGGGAGAGGTTTTGGTGGGCAGGGAGAGAGGAGGGGTGAAGTGCGCTGGGACAGCAGAGTGGAGCCTGGGTCCTGGCTTCACGCCTGGGGAGAGGCCCCCCGCCCCCGATGTGGTTGGGTAGAGTCAGCAGGGCCTCTGTGGGGTCCCAGGGGCATATCTGGGAGGGGCTGCCACAGGGGCCCAGCCTGTGCATGTCTCCACTTCCCCTGCCAGCACCCTGAGCCCTGACCTGAGATCCCACACAGCACCATCGCACGTCCACTGTCCACCCCGAGGCTTTGGCAAAGTCTGTTCTGTTGCTAAGAAGTAGAAAAGAGGGAGATGGGGCCTCAATGGGTCAGTGACCAGGGCAGATGTGACAGAGTCCTGGTCCCCCACTCTTCAATCACCTCGGCACAAGCTGCGCCCCGCCCTGACTGATGTGAGTCCCCCTGAATGTAGAAGGGTGTGACACTTGTCCCTACCCCTAGGGAATCCCAATCCCAGGACCCAACCTCCCCCCCACCGCAGTGGTAATTTATCAGCAGTCACCTCCAGTGGCCTGAGCAGGCAGAGCCTCTTGGTGACTGAGGGGTGCTGTCATGGGAAACAGGTTTTCATGGTGAAGACGTGCTCTTCCCACAGGGGTAGGAACAAGACAGATGAGGCCCTGTCCCCCTGGAGCTTGTGCGAAAGCGGACAATGCAGGTGGCCTGCAGCCACGTCTCCTGCAGAGGCAGGTGGTCTTGGTTCCAGGGGAGTGGCAGGAGCCCATGCAGCCAGGTGGCTACCTGGAGATACCACCACCCCATCCCCTGAGGAGCTCTGTAACCCAGCCTCCCTCACCCCTGCTCGGCACTCCCCTGTAGTCAGTGCTCCTGGTGGCTCTGACTCTGGCCCAGGAAATAATAAGCCCCAGCCGACAGCTGTGGGAAGGAGGCTATGAGAGTGCCGCAGGGGATGTGGGGGGTCAGGCTGCTGGAGCAACGAGCATGCGGCTCCTCCCATCCCGCACTGTGGAAGGCGCCTTGCGCACACATGGCTTGACACTGTGATGCCCTCCTTCCTGAGGATGTGAGCTCAGGGTGGTGGGATTGAGGCCAGGGCCAGAGAGCTCTCCACCTGCTGCCTCCTGCCTGCCTCTCATCCATGCCCTGTCCCAGTGCCTGCACCCACCCGGCAGCTCCCAGGCACCCACAAGGCCCAGGCACTGGGACCATCCAAGCAGCAGGTGGCTTCTAACACAAGGATAGGGCGAGGACCGGGGTGGCTGCCGGTGGTCCCTTGGCCATTTGGGGTGGTGGGAGAGGCAGCCTGGTATCCTCTCAGGCCCAGCTGCACCTGCTGCCAGAGCACGTGCCTCTCAGCTGCCCAGGAAGGGGGCGGGGCTCCCCAGCAGCTGCAGCTCCACCACGCAGCTGCCCTGGGCAAAAGCATCAAGCCTAGCTCCTCCCAGCGGTCTCACTCCAGCCCACGCCATGGGTGACCATGCGTCCATGTCTGCTTCCCACCCTCAGTTCCGTAGTGCTGAGGGGCCTGCGTTCTCTGCACAGTGCTGGGAGGCCCATGGCTTCTGCCCAGCAAGTCGGTCAGATGCTGGTTTGATTACTGTCTAAGGGCACAGGTGAGGATTCAGGGTGCTTTGGTGGCTTCACCCACTTAGCACCTTGTTAGACAGGGAGTTAGTTACGGACACTGTTGAGGTAGAGGCTTCACGTTAGTAGCCTGTCTTGGGGATAAGCCCTTTGTTTCATCAAAATCTGCCCCTGGGTCTGTGACTTAGTTTGGGGCATTTAATGCTTTGGTAAAGTTTATATCCACTTATTCTCTGGCAAAACTGTTACCTCAAATGGACACCTGATTTGTGAGGCTTTTTAAAACCAGGCCGGCCGCGATGGCTTATGCCTGTAATCCCAGCACTTTGGGAGGCCGAGGCGGGTGGATCACCCAAGGTCAGGAGTTGAAGACCAGCCTGGCCAACATGGTGAAACCCCGTCTCTCCTAAAAATACAAAAATTAGCTGGGCATAGTGGCGCACGCCTGTAATCCCAGCTCCTTGGGAGGCTGAGGCATGAGAATCACTGGAACCCGGGAGGCAGAGGCTGCAGTGAGCAGAGATCACACCACTGCACTCCAGCCTGGGTGGGAGAGCAAGACTCTCTCTAAACCAGATTCTTGGTCATGCCCTTTGAGAGGCAGATCTGGGAAGTCCTGCTCCGTGTGGTGCCTGAGCTCCTGGAACCTGACAGTGAGTCTCTGAGCGCCTGTGAGAGGCTGACCCAAGCTTCAGTGACTGCCTCCTGCCCTCGTCTTTCCTCCTCTCTGGGTTCCCATAAAAACCTCCAGGAGGAACCACCTCTTCTGGTCCTGGGTCACCTCCGAATGGCCACAGAGTCACGAGCTCCCTGGGCTGCACAGCCAGATCCCGGGCGCTCAGGGTCTCTGGCTTGCCTGGTAGACGCCCCCTGCCATTGTGCCGAGGGCCAGCCCTCTAGCAGCAGCAGCAGCGAGAGCCTTAGGAGAGCACTGCTCTGGTCACTAGAGGCCACGTGGGTCCCAAAGATGAGGCCCGTGTGGACCTGCAGCACCACGACATCCACCGCTGCTCTCTCTGGGGCCCCTCTTCTGAGTCTCCCATGCGGTCCCTTCTAGTCACAGTGGGGTAGTAGGAGGTCCTCGGGCCATTTTACTGAAGCGGCTGGTTGGCACTTTGGCTGTTCCAGTGGCAGAACCATAGGATTTCTGCTGCTTTCGTGTTGCCAAGGAGCCCTTGAAGGAGAAGATGCCCTGGGCCAGGACGGAGTTCAGATTTCAGTTCTGCCACCTGCCAGTGGCACTGTGAGGGCTGGAAAGGGTGCCAGACAGAGAACATGGACACCTGTGTTGTCTTCTAGACCTTTTCTGCCCAATGGTGACCTTGGATGAGTCATAGGTCATCTCTCTGTCCTCAGTTTCCCTCCTTTTTAAAAGTGAGGTCTTGGCCAGATGACTTCAAGGCACCTTCCCCACAATCCTCTAGTCCATTGTGTGATAAAGCTCACAGGAGGTGGGGATCAGGGCACCTTTCATTCCTGGGCCACCCTGTGCTGCCGGACTCCCGGGACCTGGCCCACAGCCCCGCCCCCTCTCATTTGCCCTCACCCCACGACATTGTCCGCTTTCGCACAAGCTCCGGGGGACAGGGCCTCATCTGTCTTGTTCACGGTGAACTCCCCAAGACCTAGAGCAGGGTCTGGCACTTAGGTGCTCAGGGCACATTTATGGAAAAGTGAGTGCTGACCAGGCTGCCCCTCCAAGAGCGGGCCCATCTCCAGCCAGCTTGTCCCACAGGTTCGGCAGCGTCTTCCCGAGCCTCAACATGGCGGTGAAGCGGCGGGAACAGGCCTTGCAGGACTACAGGAGGCTGCAGGCCAAGGTGGAGAAGTATGAGGAAAAGGAGAAGACGGGGCCAGTGCTGGCCAAGCTCCACCAGGTACCAGGGGAGACAGGCGGGCAGGGGCTGGACAGATGGGCAACTGTGGCCACCTGTGGTAAGTCCCTCCCTTCACCTGGGGACACCAGGACCAAGACACCAGCCGTCCCCACCCCACCCATCCCATATCCCACACCCAGCAGTGAGACAGAGCTTTGACAGCCAGGGTCTTGTTCCCTAGGTGCGAGAGGAGCTGCGGCCTGTGCGGGAGGACTTCGAGGCCAAGAACAGGCAGCTGCTGGAGGAGATGCCGCGCTTCTACGGCAGCCGCCTTGACTACTTCCAGCCCAGCTTTGAGTCCCTCATCCGAGCACAGGTGAGGCCCAGACGCTCTTCCTCTGGGTGGACATAGCTCATGCCACTCCCTGTTACCCATGCTGGAAGGGTGGCTTAGCCATTCTCCACAAAGACAGGGCACCCACCCCAGGCACGGCCCCGAAGGAATTCATTCCAGTACCAGAGTCCCCGGCTCGGCGACTTGGGAACCCTGTCCACTGCTAGAGTCCTCACGTTGCTCTGGTGAATCCCAGAGCAGGCATGGCCGAGGTTCCCTTTTGTCCGGCAGTTCCTCCCTGGATCTCTCTGCATTTCACTCTGAGTAGCCCCTCTGCCCCGCACCCTCAGGTGTGCAGGTTCTTGACCTGGGGTGGTGCTGAGGAGAAAGGGATCTGGAGAGTGGAGGCCTATTCTGAGGACTCAGCTCCCCTCCCCTACACCCTGAGCCAGTCTTCTTTTTAGCAGGAAACGGCAGGAGTCCTGCCTTGGAGCCACTAGGGAAGGGGTGCCAGAGCCCTGGGGAGAGCCACACTCAGGGCTGCTGCTAGGGCCCTGGGGTGGAAAGGCAGGCCTGGAGGCATGGGGGCGCCACTGGGGGTCAGACACAGGCCAGGCCCCAGTGTCCCCTTCCACTCGGGGATGGGAGGACACGGAGTGGCAACACCTGTGGCTCCCACACCTCTCACCCTCCTCCATCTTCAAGCCTTTAGCAAGGATTGTTCCCCCAACTGGCAAAATAGAAAAGGGTGGGCACCCATGCCAGAAGCGGGTCCCTTCCACACAGGACCCTGTTGATGGCTCGTACTCAGCGACAGCCTCAGTACCCCAACACCCTTAGCAGCCATCTGCGCCAGGTCCCTGAGCCGCAGACTGTGCCACCTGAGTGGGCATTTGGCGCCCTCCAGTGGCCGTTCCCTACCGGCCCCGCAGTCACAGCCACGAAGCCCTGGCCCGCACACCCACCCTGCCGGGCCGAAGTCAGGGTGGCCACCCACCCCAATCAGGACGCCTGAGCAGGGTTCATGCTAGGGCTGGGCCTTGTCAGTGACTCACGTACTTGGGCCTGTGCCATCTGTAGGCAGCATGAGACCTAGAGCCTTCTGCAGGAGGGGTGGGGACTTCTCCCGACACTTGCTCCTGCAGTGAGGGCTCCCTTCAGCCGCCCCATTGGGTTCACGGGAGACCTGGCCCTGCCCCTTCCTTCCTATCACCTAGGTGCTGCCCTACACCCTCCCTCCTGTTGCTCACAGGAGGAAGCCACAGGGTGCCAGGCTCTCGCATGCCCAGGTTGGAGCAGATGGGAGGCCAGGGATGCCCTGTAACCAGGCAGCACTTCTGGGGGCTGTTGACTGCCTCCTGGGCCCCAGCCTCCTCCTCACCCGCCCGGCTGCCATTAGTCATGGAGAAGTGAGCATCCCCGGTGACTCAGAGCGCAGTGGCTTGGGCAGGGTGGGGCGGGTAGGGCAGCCCACCCCCAGCCCAGAGGTGACAGCAGTGTTGAGACCAGCTCACTTTAGCTCCCCGTCGGCCAGCAGAAATCTCACCTCAGGAGTGTCAGCCGTGGGTCCCTGCCCCACCTGGCATTTCCCACAAGGTCCCCTTAGTGTCTAGAGCTCCTCCTTGTGTCTAGAGTGCAAAGCGTGGAAGCTTTCAGGAAACTGCATGTGTTCATTGGGTCATGAGATAGAAACTGAGGCAGAAGTGGCCCCTGTTGTCTGTGGAAAAGCCCCTGGTCCTCAGCCATCTGTGAGAACTGACAGGCCTCCCCATTCCTCCACCTGCCCCACCCTCATCCCTGTGTCCCTTCCCACCCCGGTTCTGGTGCCTCCCTAGAGGGACCCTGGCAGTGAACCTGGCCTCTGAGCTGTCCCCTTGGCCACACAGCTTGGGCCATGAGCAAGGGTGGGATGCAAGTTGGGAGGGAATGGAAGGCTAGACGGGCATCCCCTTTCTCGCCTGTGCTTCTAAAGCTGGCTTAGGGCTTTGGGAGCCACCAGTCTACCGTACCCTCTTTCTGCCATGGACAAAAGCCGTGGGTTCTCCCCTAGCTTACAAAAAGCAGTAAAACGTGTCATGGTGCCCAACATCCCACAGTTGCCCTAGGAGGCCCGTGCCTTCCTGCACCTGCTGCTGGGGAAACCAGGCGCCCAAAGCAGGGGCACCTCCACCTGCAGCCACTGAGGCCCTGTTGCTCCCCGGCTCGTTTTGGTTCAGTCTTAGCTAGAGCCTTTCCATGCCCTGCACATTCCCAAAGGCACACTGCTACACAGCTCCAGAGGGGTGAGGGCAGGGGGTAGCAGAGGAGTGTGAGCCTCTCGCCCTCTGAAGCACATGGTTTTCTGGAGCCAGCATGTGCCAACCCGCCGCCTCCCCCAGGTTGTGTACTACTCGGAAATGCACAAGATCTTTGGAGACCTGACCCAGCAGCTTGACCAGCCAGGCCACTCCGATGAGCAGCGGGAGCGGGAGAACGAGGCCAAACTCAGTGAGCTCCGGGCCCTCTCCATTGTGGCCGATGACTGAATCCCCATCACTCTTGGACAACTCCTGTGACACGGTCAGCCTCGCTCGTCCTTGCCCTTCTCAGGGCTAACTGCTCCTCTCACAGGCTGGGGACAGAGGTGGCCCTGGTTCACTTGCCGGCCCTTTGCAATGAATGACTCTTCCTGAGCCTGGCACCAGGATCCCTAGACAGGCCGCTGTCTCCCCACTCACAGCCCCAGCAGGTAAGCAGTGTAGACAAACCCTTGGGGCTTTTTTATTTGGAGAACCGTCCAGCATGCATCCTGGCCCATGGCCTGAGCAAGCTGCAGCCCTTCTGAAGCCGTGGGCTTTGTCGGCTCAGTTGGGGGTCTTAGCCCTGCATGCATTGTGGGCATCAAATCTACCTCCAAAAGACCCATCCTGGGGAGTCCTCTGGCCCCTCGTTGCCTTTTCACTTAAAAGCCTCTTTTTTCTGGGAGAGGCCCTGAACCCTGCCCAGGAGAGCTGTTCCTCCACCCTGGCAGGCCCTCAGCCAGCTTCCTAGCAAGACAAAAGCTACCCTCGTGACTTTGGGACCCAAGTCGTTGGGGTTCCCGAGGTCACTGAGAACTGTTACCTCGGGACCTCAAACTGTCAGTGGAACTGTCCCACCACACAGAATGTCCCACAAGAATTCGCATGTCTCAAAGCAAAAACAGTGGGTTTGTGTCTCACCTGAGTATTTGGAATTTTATTTTTTCAAGTAAAGTTTTCAATGAAATGTCCACATGGTATTGTTATAACTTAGGGCGAGCAGGGGAAATTCCTCTTCCAGGGCCTGCTGCCCTCCGCTGAGCAGCAGCACCCTCCAGCAGGCAGCCCAGCACGCAGGGGTCTGTGTGCGCCTCCCCGGCCCTGCCCCACCTTTTGGAGTGAACTGCACCGTGGTCCAGCAGAGATGCTGGGCGGAAGGGCACGCAGGCAAGCCTAGGAGAGGAGTAGGAAGAGCTGTGGAGGACACGCTCGGTTTGTTTTTGACTTTGGTTTATTTAAAAAACAAGCCAAAAAAAAAAAAAAAACCCAACTTTATATACAAAGTCAAACTGAAACCACGGATTATGGAAAGAGGCAAGAATTATGGGTAACAGGGGAGAAGGCTGGGCCAGAGCCAATACCACATTCTGAACACAGGAGCCACGGGAAAGAGGTGCTGGTTTCTTCTGGCAAATCTGGGGTGACTGAACACAGTGTTCTATTGGCAAACCCAGCCCAACACTGAGCACTTTCTAGCATGGACTCCATTCCCGTGATGGCCAAGGGAGACCCTTCCCCCAGGAGCCTGCATCTGGAACCTAGCAGAGCCTGTGCCATCCGGAGGAGGGGTTGCTTAGCCCCAGCCAGGCTCCACGTCTGTCTCTTCAGTTCAGTTCACTGACATCAGACCTTGTCACACACTTGAAAAGCCTTTTTCTCCCCTGTCTTATTCTAAACTGGAAAAGGACAGGAGAAAGTCAGCACAAGACTAAAAGGGCCCCAGGAGAAATACCAAGGTTGAGGGCAATATGACATTCTAGGGGTGCAAAAGATGTTGTATTTAGTTGTTAACTGGAACCGGGGTTCCTCACACATCCATCCCACATAGCACAGCCCCCAGCCTGATGGCCTGCCGTCCCCTAGAGGCTGAGCATGGGGTCAGCCACCCCTGCCCTGGCTCCCAGGTCTCGCTCCCGCTGCTTTCTGGTACCGCAAGGGCTCCAACTTTGCCGAGCGCCACCGCTGCCCTCACAGGATGGCAGTTCCGTGTGAGGCCGTCAGTTGCTAGGTGCCGGCTCCTCTTTCTCCACCCAGCTGTCAGCCTGTTTGAAACAGATGTACCCAGAATCAGGCCTGGCAAGGCGATCTGAGGACTGCGGACTGTCTCCTGCTGGGAAGCTCCCGCTCGCTGCACGCTGCTGACTGCTCAATTCCCAGAGAACCTGCAACCAGGGGCACACAGCCTGGCAAGCGACGGAAGGAAGAAGCTGGTGCCTGCTGGCCCTCTGGTCACTCCGGACATAGGGGCAAGCACCCTTCCAGGGGTTTCTGGAGCTCAGGGAAAGGAGCTGTGCTGCCTCCTGGTCCACCCCCACCTTACCTTTTCCACCACCCGCTGGATCTCCAGCTGCAGGGGGGTCAGGCGCCTGCGGAGCTCCTGCAGCAGCCGCTGGAGCTGGCTCTTCTGTCGCTCCGCCATCCGAGCGGTCTCCTCAGCCTCCGCCAGCCGGGCTCGCAGCTCCTGCATCTCTGCCGCCAGCGTCTTATTCGTTACTTCAGTGGCTGAGAAACGGTTATGGCTCTCCTCTGCAAGGTGGAGGAGGAAACAGAGGGACGGCTGCTCCATCAAGGCCCAGAGCACAGGGCAGGGCCTGAGCCTAAGCAACGGGTTCCCTACTGGTCTGCACGTGCCCCCGTGGTGGATGCAGCCCTAGGCCCTCACCCAGCTTCAGCTCCAGTGTGTGGATCTTATTCTCTAGGTAGAGCCGGCCGCTGTCCTGCTGCTCCGCGCGCTGCAGCAGACTCCCCACGTTGATCAGGCTGCCATTGTGGGACACCAAGGCTTTGTGTTCCGTAGGGGCGGCACCTGGCTTCGTGCTCTTCCCAGAAGGGGGCAGCAGGTCCAGGTTTCCTAGAGGGAACCATGAAAAAGATTGCAGGATGGGGTCTCCGGAGAGGGCAGCCTGCCCTACCCGTGCCCAGGAAGGCTGCAGGGCTCAGGACATACCAAAGAGCACCTCCTCGGGAAGGCCACCGTCCAGGCCCTCCTGGCGGCTGTACTGAAGGCTCCGGTACTGACAGATGTTCTGGGTCACCACCCTGCTGACCAGCTGCTTGGCCTGCAGAAAACACACCCCCAGACACCTGCTGACCAGAAGGCCCAGTCCCCGACCCTGGCCGTGGGCAGGAACCTGGAGCAGGAGCAAGTGCAGGCCTGTGCCCATGTGCTGAGGCAGAAGAAAGAAGGTACCTGCTCTGCACTGAGCCGGATCCCAAGGGTAAGGAGGATCCTCTCCAAGTCTCGCCGGTGCAAGTAGCCACACCAGTTGGCATCAAAGAACACAAAAGCAAGCAGACAGTCCAAGGGGAGCACAGCAGAGGGATCCAGCTCCTTGGGCTGCAAAGAAAACAAAGATGAGCAGGATTTTCAAATAGTTCCCTCAGTGGCTCTATCGCCCAGGATTCAGCCTGTTCAGAATCCAGTGGCTCGGGCCACATGCAGCTCAGGCCACATGCAGTAATGCATGCCTAAAGTCTCTGCTACTGGGGAGGCTAAGGCAGGAGCATCACTTGAACCCAGGAGTTCGAAGCTGCAGTGCACTATGCTCATGCCTGTCAACCACTGTGCTCCAGCCTGGGCAACATAGCGAGACCCCGTCTCTAAAACACAAAACATCAAGCAGCCTGGCTGATGTTCATCACACCCAAGCCAGCCTTCCTCTCTGGGGCACTTTCACAAAAGCTCCTGTGCTCCTCTCTCCCATTCACCCCGACAGACACTGAAATGTTCTCCTGGAGCCTATGAACGTGCCCTTCCATGAGCCAAGGACCACACTGTGTGTTGGGTCCATCAAGAAAGGAAATCACTGGTAAGCATCCTTCTCCCAGGAGTGTGCCGAAGGCCTTGCCAAGCCTCACCACCACTAAGGCCCAGAGAGGTGGAGAAGAGGCCTCACCATGTCCTGAAGTGAAGAGAACTCCATCTCTGACTGGTTTGAGGCAACGGACCGGACCTCCGAATCCTCCAGCTTTGCTCCTGCTACAGAAAGCCCAAGATAAATGGAGAGCAGGGCCCACCCAGCTCCACAGTCCAAAAATTAAAACCAGCTTGGCCACAGGTGGAAAGCCACATCCCGAGCCTGCGAGCTCCCCTCTCACCACTCAACATACCAAACTCCTCCTCTCCATCATCCCTCAGAAGCAACAGTTCTGGGTCCAGGGCCATCTCACACAGGTCCTCGGAAGCCTCGCCCCGGGGTTTTTCTTCTTCCTCTCCCCCAGAAGAGGGTGGTTTGGGCAAAAGCCCATCCTCCTTCTAGGGACGCAGACGAAGGTGATTAGAAGGAAGGCAGTTACCGTAATTACCAATAGTAATCATGGCTGACACCTGAGTAATAAGTATGCCCCGGGCACTGTATGGAGGGCTCTAGACACCATCTCATTTCATGTATTTAATTTCATTAAGTGGAACTCAGAGCATGCCAGGGCATCACCAGACACCTGGGCTTTTTTCCTCAGGAGTTGATCTTAGTCCCAGAAGAAACTACATTTATTTGATAGTATTTAAACAAAAAACAGCTGGGCACGGTGGCTCACACCTGTAATCCCAGCACTCCTGAGGTCAGGAGTTCAAGACCAGCCAGGCCAACATGGTGAAACCCCATCTCTACAAAAGTACAAAACTTAGCCAGGCATGGTGGTGGGTGCCTATGATCTCAGCTACTCGAGAGGCTGAGGCAGGAGAACCGCTTGAACCTGGGAGGCAGAGGTTGCAGTGAGCCGAGGTTGTGCCACTGCACTCCAGCCTGGGCGACAGAGCAAGACTCCATCTCAAACAAAAAAAAGACTAGTATTTTAGAAAAGGTTTACAAATTTTATTGTTTACTTTTTTTCAAGAGAGTCTTGCTCTCTCACCCAGGGCGGAGTGCAGTGGCACGACCTCGGCTCACTGCAACCTCCACCTCCCTTGGTTCAAGGATTCTCCTGCCTCAGCCTCCTGAGTAGCTAAGAATACAGATATGCACCACCACGCCCAGCTAATTTCTGTATTTTTAGTAGAGACAGGGTTTTACCATATTGGCCAGGCTGGTCTCAAACTCCTGACCTTGTGATCTGCCCGCCTTGGCCTCCCAAAGTGCTGGGATTACACCCCACCTACAATATTTTCTAGTTAACCATCAGACAATCAAAGCACCCCACTCTGCTAAGCATTTTCAGTGACTGGGGTTTCTATGCTGTCAGGCTCCTCAGCCATGCTCCCTGCACTCCTCTGCGCCACCTTCCCTTCCACTAGGTGTGCCACTTACTAGCTGTGTGGCCTCAGTGCGTGCTGAGCAAGGGAGTGGGGAATGAGCTAGGGCGCAGGAAGCACTCAGAGCCCAGGGTGAAGATGCGTGGTCACGGTAAGCACTACGACAGCCTGAGGTGGCAGGGTACTCACCAGTGGGGGCTCTGACTCGGCAGCCGGGCCCTCATTCTGTGCCTCATCCTTGGGCTCCTTGACCACCTCCTCTTTGATGGCTTCTTCCTCCTTGGTGGCTTCCTCCTTGGCCGCCTCCTCCTTCTCAGGTTCAGGTGGGGACACGACCTTTTCAGGAAGGCTCAGCAGCATCTTATAAACCCTATAGCCAAAATCCCTCTGGAGCATCTCCAGAAACAGCTCAGCCAGCACCATCACCTGACGGGGATGTGGCAGGGTCCATGAGCATCAGGAAAAAAGACTGCTCAAGGCCCACAGATCCCAGCCCATAGCCTCCCCAAGACTCTGACACCTGCCTCAAAAGAGATCCTTTCTTTTGGCCTCCGATCCTCCACAATCCCATGGAGGGACAGGTTCACACAGCCAGGGCGTGCGATGACAGCAGGTTCTAGTGGGGGTGGAGGGGCCTCTGGGAGATCAGTGTCCGTTTCCTGCTGTGTGCTGGCCTCTGAAGGTTCTGCGTTCCGTCTAGAAGTGTCTGCTGCTTGCTCCAAGGCGTCCGGTGCCTGTTCAGTAGGCTCCATTTCCTGTGACAATAGCCAAGATGAGACC